CTAGAGACTTTCTTCAGTGAATAGTTCCGGGCCTCCCCTCCCCTGGGGACTGAGGAGGTGAGCCAACACTGCAAGAAAGGGCAAGCGGGCAGCCCCGTTTGGGGGATATGAACGTTTTAATAATTTTTGCTGAATTCCTTTACAACTAAATAACACAGATATTGTTATAAATAAAATTGTAAAAGAAAAGTCGTTTTTGTCTGCCTCTGAGTGTGAGATAGAGAACTGGGACTGTGCTTGCCTGTTTCAGCCACTAGAGGGTGCCCGACTTGAAAGACTGGTCTTCAAAGGCCTTTTCCTCTCTCAATCTCTCTCTCACTGTACATAGCAGGGGAAGGGGGTTGGCACTGGACTTGAAGACTTCTTTCTCTTGGTGATGTGACCTTGAGCCTGGTGACTTCACTTCTTTAGCTCTTAGGATAGCAACTTCAAGGTCTCTTCCCTTGTCACTTCTGTGAGAAAACTGCTCCTCTCCTCATTCAAAATGATCTTCCACATTGAGAGATCTCACCATTTAAAAAAACAACAACACATTGGGGTCATGAAGGTTTTCAAGATGGTTCCAAACAGCTCTCTACTGTGTGTTTGCTCCTGAAGCACTCACTAACTGTTCCACAAACTTCATGGAGATGAATTCATTAGAAGCTAAGAGTGGAACCCTGGATTCAGAAAAAAGGGGAACCCCTGAATTGACGGAGAGCTCTAAGGAGACCAGTTTGTCATGCCTACCAGCCAGCCACCAACGAACCCAGTTCACCTATCATTTTTAATACACTCTGGTAGCGTAGTGGTTACGGGCTGCAAACCACAAAGTCAGCAGTTCGAAACTACCAGCTGTTCCGTGGGAGAAGGATGAGGCTTTCTGCTCCTATAAAGATTTACAGCCTCAGAAACCCTGTACAGGGTCACTATGGGTCAGAACTGACTCCACAACATATAACAACAACAACAGGGCTTGACAGGGTAGGACAGCCACAGGGACTGTAAAACCCCTGCTCAGGGAAGGAAGTCTCTTGGAGAAGGTCATACAGCTTTACACTGGCCAAGATTGAGAGGACTGCCTACTCACCCCTCAATAGTTAAAAACCAGCTCAGGATGAGTGGCCGGAGAACCTGCACCCAGTTCCCAAAAAATGAGCACTGCCTTTCACTTCACCTCCCTCGCTGGTTCAACTTCTCAAGCCTTTTCTTCCCATGTGTCCTTCATTGGCGAAGTTATAGGGCTAAGCACTTCCAGAAACAAAGGACTTCCCTTCCCCTCTTAGTCCAGAGACCCCCATCTCCAACTTCACACTCCCAGTCAGCTCTGACACTTTCCTGCTGGGAATAGGTGCATCCTTGTTGATTGTTGAGAAAGGGGTTCATGCCTGCCTCTGGCCACTAGGTGGCATCCACACTCAAGCATCACGGGGTATCCTGAAGCCCAGCAAGGGCCCCCACCCCAACACATGCTATGCACCTGTGAGTGGACCCCAGCCCAGCCCCTCTCCTCTCTTTGGGATATTCTGCTATACCCTCTTCAACTGACAGTAGGTTCCCTTTTCTCCCCAAATGCCTGCCTGCTCCCCTCCCCACCAGTCCTCCCCACTCACCCCCTTCCTCTGCCAGGCACACATCTGGTGTCACCAGGGAGTCACTGATTCTATGCCTGTCACCTCAAGACCCTGGCCAGAGTGAGAGAGGCCCCCAGATGCAGCTTGGAACACACACCCTTCCCATCAGCATTCTCTACTGGCCAGGACCCACTGGGAAAGGATCTACCAGGAGGCTGCACTCAAACATTCCCCACTAGCAAGAAGAGAGAGGCTTGAGACAGATGGAGACCAGGGAGACAGAGATAGAGATACTGCAGAGGGCAAAGACCAGAGAGAGTGGTGTGTATGTGTGTAAATGGAATGTGGAGGGGATGGCCTGAGACTAGCAAAAAGAGGAATGGGGTGGGTCAAGACCCTAGAGAAGGACTTCTGTCCTGGGCAGCTCAGGTTTGGGTGTTCCCACTGCTCCTACACTGCTGTACTGGCCTTTGGTATGCACCTTGAGCTCAGGATTTTGACTGGGGTCTTAGGGCCTTGGGCCCACCTTGTCTTTCTTCTCTCAGGCCCGCTTGCACCCAGATTCCTGGTTCCTTATCCTCTCAGTATCCCTGTCCTTTCCATGACCCTTTCTCCATGTCTGTTACATTCCTATGTCTGTCTGGTTCATTGTATATGCTTCTTTGTATATGTCTGCCTCTGCTTGTCTTCGGGACTGTTAGTCTCAATATACACCTGTGTGTGTATCTGTGTCTCACGTGTGTCCATCTCTGCCTATGGATGTTTGTCTCTCTGCCAAGGCAAGGGGCTGGGTGTGAGCCACTCTTGGTACAAATGTGCATCTGTGTTTTTCTGTCTCTGGGTGTGCTCCTGAGTGTGTGTAAACCAAGGATGTCCATCTGTGTGTGTTGGTATGCTTCTCGTGTGCATCTGTGTGTGTGCATGTGCAAGCCCTATATATGTGTTTGTGTCTCCAGGTGTGTGCCTGTCTCTCCATCTCTTTGCTTCTCCCCATTTCTTGTTGTCTAAATATTGGTCATATCACAACCTCAGACACAGCCTCAGCGTAGCAACAGCTGACAGCTCAAGACTACCCTGGGAGGGGAGTGAGAGAGAGACTTGGGAGACGGGAGTAGGGGAGGAAGCCAAGGAACAAATTGGGTAGAGGATGGAGACAGAGACAGAACTAGGGAAGGAAACCGAGACAAGGACAGAGACAGGGAAAGGGACAAAGAGAGAGAGGAGCTGATGGTGAAAGATGGGACAGTGGAAAGAACAGAGACTGCACCAAGAGGCTGGGCAGGCGGTGCTGTGCAGCCTCTTCTATCTTGCCCCCCCCCCCCGCCCCCGTCCAGTGCACGCTGGTACGGTAGGGGATCAGAGTTTGGAGGGAGGATAAAGGTGGACCATCAGTTGGGTCAGGGGATCGAGAAGGTGCAGTGGGGCGGGGTAGGGCGACAGGAGCCGTTTGTCAGCCCTATTGACAGACGTGATGGGGTTTCCGTCCGTGATCAATGATTCTCATCTCCGGGCCGAATGAGCCGCGGGGCGCCCATCCATCCCCGTCAGCGTTGTGCAACGGCAGCCGCCTGAGGCCCCGCCCGCGCTCACCTCGGCCCTGCCCTGCTCCTGCCCTAGGCCTCACCTGCGCCTGGATCATAAAAGGGGGCTGGAGTATTGAGGGACCCCAGTTTTGTGGACTGCCTAGCCTCGCCAGGCGCCAGGTTCAGTCTCCACCGTGCCCTTCTTCATGTGTACAATCCCGGGACCTCAGACCCCACGCCCTATCCCTTGCCTTCGAGGAGCAGATGGGGCCTTCGAGGAGCAGATCAGGCAGGCCTCTTGGTGCAAAGTCTGTGAGCCCCTCGAAGCCCTCAGTTTCGCACCTGGGCTGGGGGCGTGTCTGGGGCGTGTCAGGGTGAAAGTCACCTTCGGTGCCCCCAGCCGAGCGGGAGGGGGCGCGCAGGGCGCGGCCAGGATTGGAGAGCCGCGGAGCCCCGCCCCCGCCCCTCTCCCCCCCGCCCGCCAGAGTCAGACCAACTTTCTCCCCCGCCCGCGCCCCGCCCCCAGCGCCTAGCTCCGCTCCTTGCGCTCAGTCCTCTGGCCGCGTCGCTGCTCCCGCCGCTCCCGCCACCACCCCATCGCCACCGGCGCCGAGCCCCCCGCCCGCCCCGGGACCCACCCTGCCCACCCCGCTCGGCTGTCCGGGAAGATGCGGCTGCTGCCAGAATGGCTTCTCCTGCTCTTTGGCCCGTGGCTCCTGCGGAAGGTAAGGGCGGCGGGGCCGCATAACGAACGCGGGGGTCCCGGGACGCGCCGGTCCCGGAGTGAGGAGGGTTCTGTGCTCCTGCCCCGCCCCCAGCTCGACCGGTCCCAACTTTGCACAGCATAGGGACCACGGACAGACAGACTCCTCGATTCAGGACTGGCGCTCTACAAGCGCAAGTTGGCTGAGGGTTGGGGGCGGGAGGGGGGGCGCCGGGGATGGAGACCCGGCCGGGATCTGGCACCAAGCTCGGCGGGGGAGGGGACAAAGCCCGGCCCGCGAGTGCGCCAGACGGAGCGGGAGTGCGAGACCGACAGACAAGCCTGCAGGGTGTCAGCCTTGCCTTCGTTCCGCTCCAACCTCGTTCGCCTTCCTCGCTGTCTGTCTGTCCCTCCTTCCTCCCCCCATTCACCATACCCAGGCCTTCCTTCTTGTCTCTGCACATGTCCTAATGCCAGGTGGGCACTGTGTTCTGAGCACACGCACACACAAGACTCACACAGACATGACCCAACTTGGCTACAATCTCCCCTCACATTTCCCGCGGAGACACCATCTCCCTTGCACTGCCTGACAGACACACCCCCCTCTTGAGCCCTCTGATGGGGGGGTGGGCTTTCTGGAAGGAGTCTCTCCTTTGGACCACCTTGCCCCCAGCCCCTTCAGCTGCTTTGAACCCAGAGGCTAAGGAGACCAGGCTTGATCTGCCAAACCCCCTCACCAACATACACACACACTTGGAGGCTTCAAGTGGCTTATAAAGTGTACACATATGTGCTGGTGTGGAGTATGATCTGGAGTGCACCTGTGTGCGCGTGCATGAGTCTGTGGAAGGCAGGCTTGGGTGTCTAGTGCTGGAGCCCAGGATAATGTGTATGCTGAGATGGTGTGTGGTGTTGGTTTTGCATGGGTGAGTATAAATACCTGCTTTTATTTGCAACAATCTGTGTGTGCCCCACAGTGAGGGCCCCCTATCTCCTTTCCCCAGTGTCCCCTGCCCATGGTTTTCCTTTTTCCTGCACTCCAATTGTAACCCACCTAGTTTGAGGGCCACCTGGCATTATCCCCACTCTTTGTACCCCAGGTTCCAGCTCCTGCAGAATCTAGAGAGGTATATAGTTCTCTCCCAAGACTCTATGACACCCATGCCATGCATCCAAATCACACATAGCACCGCAGCAGGGTAGGGACTGACCTAGTGAACCTGTTACTAGGGCTCCTTGATAATCCCAAACCCACCTGATGACCTTGAGAGGCTGGAAGGCAGGCAGAGGAACCCTGCCACACAAATTGCTTCCATTGGCAGAAGCTTCTTTTGGCCTTGCTGTCCAGCTCTGCCCTTAGACGATTTTGAGGAGGGGAGTCTGTGACCCATAAACCACCCAAGTGTGTAGGCCTGGGGTCAAGGGGAGGTAACTAAGATCCTCCCCCTGTCTCTCCCTTCTATTTCTCCCCCACTCTCTACTTTCCCCACCAAATAAACTCCCCTGTGGACAGATCTGGTTTAATTTCCTTTGCCCCCAGAAGGAGAATGAAACATCTGGTGGAGACTTGAGGGAGAGTGAGCAGGAGGTTGTGAGTGATGGGAATCTAGCTGAGTGCATGTGAGATATCTGCAGCTGGTGAAGTCAATGGAAGAGAGTGTATGTTGCCCTTTAGTCCAGCTTGTGTGCATGTGAGAATCTGTGTGTACACAAAGTGTGTGTGAATATGTAAAACTGGGGGGGGGATAGATAAGTGTTTCTATGCCTGAGTACCCATCTGTGTGTGCTTACATGTGTTGTGAAGGTGGTGTGTACACAAGGGTGGATTTCGAGTACATCTGTGTACTTGGGCTCATGTGTTGTACCTCTGGATGTGAGTCTCTGGGGTTTGTGAGCGTGGGTCTGGGTGATTGTGGTTTTGGAAGCATTTGAGAGTGGGGATGACATTGGCACGCTCAGGATGTGTTCTTATATCTGAGTGTGTGCTTGTGTGTGCCTGTGCTTAGTGGAGTGGTGAAAGACGAGGCTGGTAGTGGATAAAACAATGGTGAGGGGCAGTTTACAGGACACTGTAGGATAAACACTGGACCGCTAACCACCAGGTTGGTGGGCTCAAACCCACCAACCACTCCTCAGAAATCTTATGTTGTTGTTGTTGTGTGCTATTGAGTCAGTTCCGACTCTTAGCAACCCTGTGTAGGGTTTCCAAGGAGCGACTGGTGGGTTTGAACCTCTGACCTTGTGGTTAGCAGTCCAGTGCTTATCCTACAGCACCACACCAGGACTCCCGGAAACTGACACAACGGCACACCACCACCACCATGAGTCTAACAGACTGGACAGCACTTAACAGTCTTCAAACACTAACCACCCTGCCTTTTCCCCTCCTCTGCTCTCCCCTCTCCTCCCGGAGCTCTCTCCTTCCTTCTTTTTGCTCCTCTCTGGGCTTGGGACTCCTGGCTTCCTACCTGCCCCCTCCCCCGCCACACACACACACTTCTTCAGGATATTTCAAATACTGCTTCTGATCCTTTTCTCCCTCTATGTCTCTGCCTCCCTAACCCCTTGCCAAAGCAGCTGCCTTCTGGGAGAAGCAGCAGGCGATCAATAGTCACTAATCACTAATCACTAATCACTAATTAGCTGAGGGAGGGCAGGGGCGGGGCCCTGTGGGACCATTCGGCTCTATCCCGCCTAGGGGAAGGATTAGGCCTGAAGCAAATCTCTCTGAGCTGCTGGCCTCTGCCGGCCCCTCCTCCCACCGTCTCGTCAGTCTGCTTCCACACCCGCTTTCGGGACCCCCCAGCTAATCTCTGGTTGGGCCACTTAGGCACGTGCAACCCGGGCTTTGGCCCAGAGCTGCTGGCGGGGATTTGGGGTAATCAGGGCCTGCAGCTGGGCCAGGGTGCAGGGGGTGGTGTGTGGCTGAATAGCTCCCTTGAGCCACAGCCTTCAAGGCAATGGAAACCCCAGTCCAGAATGGGAAAGGCACCCTTTGGCTAGGAAAAAGTAGAGGGTCACGAGGTTAGGGTAGGGAAGGAGCCAGAGATCTAAGACTGGAGAAGAGGTGAGATAATTTGCGGACAAAAATAAGATGAGTAGGGGCAGAGAACAGGTAGTTGGGAAGAAGATAGATAACCTTCGAAAGAGACAAGGTATGTTGGAGTGAGGTGCCAACAGAGGTTAGAGATGGGGTAATTGGCAAGAAGATGGAGAACTTTGGATACAGCTACCACAAGATGGGCAGGAATTCTGAGGGGGCCAGGGTAACCAAGAGGAGGCAGAGTTACAGAGAGGGGGCAAGGTCATGGGGAAAGAGTTCCAAGACATAGCTTTGGGGGACGCAGGTGGGCGTCGCCGGACATTGGATAGGGCAATCTGCCAGACAAGAATGGAAAGCTGGGAGCGCTGCCTTGAGCGCTTGAAATTGGCGAGCTCCCCCTCTCCCCTGCCAGCCCCTCCTCCACCTCCCCGCCCACTCCCCCTCCGGCTCGGGCTTCGGGCTTCGGGCTTCGGGAAATTACATCCCCGCTCCGCGGCCCCCTCCCCCCTTACCGCGCCCTGGAGCCCGCGCCTTTATAGGCACATTTATTGCAATAATAAAGTGAGGCGCGGGGCGGGGGGCGGGGGGCGGCCGTTCCCGGGGGGACCGCGCCGGCTCTAGGAAGCAGGGAAATAAAATAAAATAAAATCAAAATTCAGATAACGGTGAGCCTTGCGCTGCAGGCCGCAAGCAGCGAGCAGGCGGGGCTGAGGGGGAAAGGGCTCCCGCCCAAGGGCAGAGCCGTCCCATCAATGGTCCCTCAACCTCTGGCGCTGTAGAAGGATCTCCACCTGCCTGACCCCCTCCCATAGCTTGATCTTGCCTAGTCTTCTATCTTTTGCGTTGATTTGTCTCTCATTCCTGTCCTTAGCTCCAGTCTCCATCCTTGTCTTCCACCTCCTTACCAGACCTCCATTAACTATACCAGTCCCCGTTCCTATCCCTCATCCCCCTGGTCTTGGCATCACTTGCATAGACATCCCCATTTCTGCCCAACAACCTTTCCCCACCCACAGCCCCCATTTATGTTCCCACTCCCTCCTGTCCCCATCTCCAAGTCCCAGCCCCATCCTCATTCCTGCCTTACCCAATGTATATTGAGCACCCATCATCTCTGTGCTCCCCATCCACATTTTGGTCTCCATTCCTTTCTAACCCCCATCTTCATCCTCCTGGTTCCTACCCCATCCTCCTTCCTGTCTCTGCCCAATTCCCATCCACCATCCCTAATCTCCTCATCCCTGACCACCCACCCTGGCCTGTCCTTACTCCACCCTCATCCTACAACATATACCTGTGCCTTCCCAGTTCCCAATCCCAGCTCTCATCCATGTCTGTCCCAGTGCTCAGCCCAGCCTATCTTGTTCACCCCACCTCTGTCCTCACCTCCATCTCTGTTCCTGGTTCAGCTAGACTCCAGGCTGCTCCACCCCGACCTGACTGCAGTGCCCTTGCTTTTTTTCTAGGTTCCTGGGCTCAATATGTTCTACCATCCTCTTCCCAACCCAGGCCCTGGCCACTGGTCCTTCCCCCTGCCCGAATTCTGGGGTGGGGGACCTGACCCACACCGCAAGAGAACAAGCCAGCAACTGGTCTTGAGGCCCCAAGGAGGTGTGCCCTGCAATGCGGCTGGGGGGCTGACAGCCTGATCCTCCCCCCTCTATTCCCAGTCCCATCCAAAGTGAGCCCCCTACCCCCACCCACTGGAGTTTATTTAGCAGCAAGAGATGGCCTCAACTCCCCTCCGGTGCGTGGGCCATGATGCCTGATGCCTCGGGGGCAAAGCGCTCCTGGCACGACTCCCACCCTTCTTGGGCCTGGAGAAGCTTGACAAAAGCTCCCCCCACCCCAGCGCCATGCACCTCCACTCTCAGCGCAGACAGCCGCACTAGCCTCTCCCCTCTGAAAATGTCACCGCACCCAATTAGCTTAATTAAACCAGTTCCAGAACAAGGGGACCCCTCCTGGACAACACCCTGCTCCCTCCCGCTCATAGCTGAGGAGGGGAGGGACAGCACCGTAGGCTGTGGGCAAAGAGGAGCTCCCTTACCACCCTGCTTTCCCTTCACTCTTGCCCCCACCTATGATTGGAGACAGACAGACAACTTGAAGAACAGAGGGAGAGAAACACAGTTAGACAGAGATAAGGAGAAATACTGAATCACAGAAGGAGGAAATCTGAGACAGAGTGAAGAACAGACTAAGAGACAAAAAGAGAAGAGTCAGGAGGGGAGAGTGAGAGCTGTAGAAACAGTGAAGGAGCGAGGGTGAGACAGGGAGAGAGACAGCGCCGCACGAGCAAGGAAGCCAGAGGGAGGATTGGATTTGATTTTATTCCATGTTCCCATTTCTCGGCTCGGTTCCTCACACTCTGGCCCCTCCCTGTCCCAGCTCCCCCCAAGGTCGCTTTGGCTGCCCCTCCCAACTCTTTTATCTTGGTTGTCTCTTGTGGTGGGTGAGGGTTGCATATGCCCAAAGCTGGGAGATTTGCTGGGATCAGAAAAGCGGAGACAGCAATTTGTCTAGGATCATGGGGAGGATGCCCCCTGTACCCCTTGCTGCCTTAACAAATGTTCAACCCCTCCCCCAGCTACTGAGCCAAGACCCCCCTCCCTGGCTCCTCTGAAATGCTGAGCTGGAGTGCCAGGAGGTGCTGAAGGGGGATTCATAGGCATTTAGGGTCACAGCAGCAGATAGTAGGGACTGATGGTTGTCTGGGCTTCCCCAGTAAAAAGTAGTTGGGTCCAGAGGGGTGAGAAGATTAGGAATCAGAGTTCAAACAATCTCCCAACCCTTCAGCTTTCCCCGTAGCCTCACCTACCCCGTCCACCAGTACCTTCTTCTGGGATCAGACTCAGAGGATTTGACCCCCTCCTCCTGGGACACCTCTCTCCCCATTTCCCCAGTGGCCTAGGACTCCTTCCCCCACCCCTTCTCAGATCCTCCCTCCTGGCTCTAGCTGTCAGCCTTGACCAGTCTGTCTAAGTTAATCACTCTTGTCACCCCCAGCCCCCTCACCTGGGTAGGGAGGAGGAACAGATGGGAGGGGGAGTTAGGGGGGCGATAAATATGTATGATGAGCGGGTGGTGGCAGCATTAATAACCTGGGATTGCAGTGCTGCAGGGACTGGAACCAAGGAGTGGAGATTCTAGCCCAGCAGCTTGGCTCTGCCACTCCTGTCCCCTGTAGCTACATGGTGTATACATACTTGTATGTGCAAACAGAGAGGGCACCCATGCTGCCAGGCATCCTTACCTATACAAAACTCAACCTACAGGCTAGTGTGGGACACACCTCCCCCCAAGGACCGTTCATGTACAATTCGCATACATACCCACCTCCCAGTGGGAACACAGTGAGACTATAATTGTTAGAAAGAGCTTGACACATTGACAGAAGATGAAGGAACTCACACAGGAAAGTAACACCTCTGGACAGTTACCCACAGACCAACATACAGCCAACCCAGGCACACAACCTTGCCAGTCAGACAGACACAGTTAATACAAACAGACACACATAACTTCACTTAGACCAGCACACATAGACACTCATACATATACATAGCCACTGACACAACAGGCACACAGCCCGACAGACACACAAAAACAACCAACATAGGCAGATGCACACGTGCACACACTCTGGAAAGACCGATGACCACTCTAGGCAGATATACAGAGAAAGACAGCCATCCCAAGCCAATCCAGTAGACACACAAACACAGCTACTCTAGGTAGACTGACACACACACACTCCCCTCACAACCATGCGTGGACCCACACGCAGTCAGGGCCACGCCAAACAGAGGCTGGCAGAGGCTGACTGACACACTCTGACACGCAGTGCTCCTCTCTCTCCTGCTCCCCTAGCTGGAACGGCATCTCCATATTTCTTCCTCGCTCTCTCCCCGTCTTCTTCCTTCCCGGCCTCTCCCCCCCCACCCCCCTCGGATAATTGATGGCCCGGGCCAGGCCGGCCGCTCCCGCCTCTCGATCCATCTTGTACTCGCGCCCGTGCTGTCTCCCAGATCTCGGCCGCCACCTGAGACACACGGAGAAGGGCAGGGGCGGACAGGGGGTTGCTGCTCCGGCCCCTTCCAAGCCCAGGGAAGGACCACCACTGTCGGAGCTCTGGAGACGGGGACGGGTGTCTGTGTAGCCCCTAGTCTCAACCCACCCACGGCACCCAGACTCAACGGGTTTCCAGCGCCCCCTCCCTGGGTTGGAAGCTCTGTAATCTTGTCAGAAATGTTGGGTGGACTTCAGCGCCTCATTCTTGATACAAGCTGTTGACAGCAGCCATGGCCCGACTTGCTCGAGTCCAGCTCCTCCCTGGGCCGTTACTCCAAACCATCCAAGGGCCAGGCTAGGGGAGACAAAGCCGGGTCCAGAGCGCCGTGCCTTCCTCACAACCCACACTGGCTCTGGCTTTCTTGGACCACCTTGGAACTCTGTGAGAACTCAAGGATTCTCAACCTTATTTCACAGATGTGGAAGCTGAGAGACTTAGATAGATGAAGTAACTTGGCCAATATCACACAGCTTGAAAGGAGCTGAAGTCGTACTCGAACGCCCATTCCCTGTCCACTGCGAACCGCAATTCCATTTGATCTAGCAACTGTGAGAAGGCACTGGTTGTGAGCAGGGCTTTGATGGGATGGCCAGGGACAGCGCCAGCGTTCCTTTTTCCTCCTCTTCTTTCTTGGTTCACAGGCCGTCAGTGCCCAGATGCCGGAGTCCCGGAGGCCGCAGTACCTGGAGCTGCGCCCCGCCGCGGCCGGAGGGGGCGCCCCTGGCCAGCAGCTCCCGGCACCGAGTTCTCCGGACAGCCTAGGCACCGCGCGTGCCTGGAGCTGGGCCTGGCCGGCTAACCACACGGGGGCGCTGGCCCGGGCTGGGGCGGCTGGGGCGCTGCCCGCACAGCGCACCAAGCGGAAGCCGTCCATCAAAGCGGCCCGCGCCAAAAAGATCTTCGGCTGGGGGGACTTTTACTTCCGGGTGCATACCCTCAAGTTCTCGCTGCTGGTGACTGGCAAGATAGTGGACCATGTGAATGGCACCTTCAGCGTGTACTTCCGCCACAACTCGTCTAGCCTGGGCAACCTCAGTGTCAGCATCGTGCCTCCCTCCAAGCGTGTCGAGTTCGGGGGCGTGTGGTTGCCAGGGCCCGCCCCTCACCCTTTGCAGTCCACACTGGCTCTGGAGGGGGTGCTCCCGAGGCTGGGGCCCCCGCTGGGAGTGGCATCTGCGGGGCCAGGGCTAGGGGGCACTCTCGGGGGAGCGCTGGCGGGTCCACTCGGGGGCGCGCTAGGAGTCCCCGGGGCCAAAGAGTCACGCGCTTTCAATTGCCACGTGGAGTATGAAAAGACAAACCGCGCACGCAAGCACCGCCCGTGCCTGTACGACCCATCGCAGGTGTGTTTCACAGAGCACACGCAGAGCCAGGCGGCCTGGCTCTGTGCCAAGCCCTTCAAAGTCATCTGTATCTTTGTCTCCTTCCTCAGTTTTGACTATAAACTGGTGCAGAAGGTGTGTCCAGACTATAACTTCCAGAGCGAGCACCCCTACTTTGGCTAGCTCTCCGCCCCCACCGTAGCTCTGAGCTTTCCGCCAAATCCCTGCCTCCTTAGGTGGGACCTCTCCCCTTGTCCCGTCGTTCCTGTGGCTATGTCTACCCCGTCCACTTGAAGGGCGCAAGAGCCCAGCCTTCCTGGGGACCACCAGCAGGCGTGGGTCCCGTTTTTTCTCATGGAAAATGCTTACGAAGCTGATGGTTCCCTCCGATATACCCCAAAGCAGAAGGGCAAGAGCGGAGCTAGCTTCAGGATAGGCAGTGGTTAGAGGCGGTCCCAGGTGCCCACCGTCCATACTTGGTTCCCTTTGAGTCCCTGGCGCTGGACACGGGGCTCCCTTTGCCCGGAACTTTAATAACCTCTGGCCTGGTACCCTCATCACACCCCGACTTTCTTATCCTCAGGCGCTTGGCCTCCCGCTTCACCCTGTTCTATAAAGACTGGCCGCTTATAAACCCCGGCCTATACTCCTCTTGTTATGCCTGTCCGGTTGTATGCCTGTCCTCCTCTCCCTGTAATGTCCTGGGCAAAGACCGTGTCTTCTGTCCCTTCTCTCCTGCCCTAACAGTTCATCTCCACTTGCCCATCTCTGGTTGCTTCCTCTCGGTGATAATTTTTCTACGCCAGAACAGACGGGAAAGGGAATAAAATAAAGTGAAATCCAATATGCATCTGTGTGAGACCTTTGTAGAGAAGAGGGAGGAGGAGGTGTGGGCTCCTGTCTGGCAGAGACTTGGCCAGGACCTCCTCCCTTGGCGTTTCGTGGGGAAACTAAGGCAAAGACTGACCACTGACCGTAGCTATGATCTTGGAGGTCATCTAAGACTGGATCAGAGCGATACGAGAGGACCTTTGGGATAGGATTCCTGCTTGAGGGGGAGGGAGGGAATTCTCTTTCCTCAGGTACAGAAAGTGAAGCTGCTATAGGATGAGGGTTACCCTTAAGAGGTACTGCCAGCGGACGATTTGGAAGAATTCAGTCCAGAGGAGGAGTTAAGACCTTGAATGGAATGGAGATGCAGGGAAGGCGTAGGCAGAGCGCTGACAACCTGCTAAGTTCCGCGGGGTGGGCAGGAGGCCTCAGGTGGGGGGAAGGGGGCCGGTGTTTGCGGCATCTGGAGTCATCGATCTTCCTTTTCCTTCCTAATTTCGTGGGCGCTGAGTTTGCAGACGGATGAGGGAGGGAGGGAGGCTAGGCAAGAGGGGTGGGGGAAGGGACCAGCGCGGGTTTGGAGGGCGGGGCCGCGTCGTCGCTGCTTGCTGCGGGTTAACGCTGCCCCCTTCAGCCAGCTGCCCACCCTCCCCACCTCCGCCTCCAGCTCCTCCTGCAGCTGCGGCGGCTGCTAATTTTGTCCGCCCCCAACTCTGGCCGGGGCGTTAATTGGCTGCGGCTTCATTAGCAGTTTTCTAGCTCAGCTTCCCCCCTCCCCTCGGGACCCCTGGCTGGGGCAGAGGGAGGGGAGTTCGGACATGCTGAGGCATAGAGCGACTCCTCGTCTTCCTTCGCCTTCAGTCTCGGGTCTAAGTACCTAATCCGAAAGGGCCCTGTTCTCGAGGGAACTGCACATTGGCTTCAGCTGGAAACTGAGTCAGAGGTAGATCCGACCTATACAAACCTGAGAGTGAAAAGTCCGGTAAGCAGAAAATAAATATCTTCTGAAAGAATGGATGGATGGATAAATAGTTGAATGAATGAATGAGAGATAGATAGGATCAACTGAAAAGGTAGTGGAAAGTGGTTCTGAATCACAGATTGGATGAGGAAAAGCAACCGAGGATTCTCCTAGCACCGGCCTATTGGTGCACAGACCTGAGAAAATCTGCGGTTAGAGTGGGAAGAAAGGAAGGAATTTAGAGCTAAGAGGAGAATTCTGAACCCTAGTATGAGAACCAAGTGGAAATGACTGGAAAACACATTTTCCTATCTTGCCTAGGAAATGCAAAACAGTCACCTTACTCCTTAGGGATGTCCCAGGAGGACGAGGAGAAGATGACCATGGAGAATCTCAGGTTTGTGAAACAGCCGAAAAAGGGTGCAGATAATCCATACCAAGCATGTTCATATACAAAGTCTCATTTAATCCTCCCAAATCAAAAAGCCCTGCTCTGCAGTTCCTTCCAACTCTTACCCATCCTGCAAAGGGTTTCCAAGACTGTAAATCTTTATGGTAGCAGAAAATCTCAAGTTTCTCCTGTGGAGCGGCTGGTGGGTTTGAACTATCCACCTTGCAGTTAGCAACCTGATGCCTAACCCACAATGGCACCAAAATTTATTAATTAATCCCCAGGACATGCTTTTTTTATTGCTTGACAAGTGAGTAAACTGAGGCTCGGATAGGCTAACTTGCTAATTAGCCCAGTCTCTTGCTCTTCCACACCAGGATGCTTGCCAAAAACCCAAACCTAACTAAATTCACTGCTGGAGTCCTGGTGTGGCGCTGTGGGTTAATACGCTGGACTGCAAAGTCTGTTTGAATCGCAAGGTCGTAGGTTCAAGCACACCAGCTGCTCCTCGGAAACCCAATAGAGGGTCGCTATGTAACAGAACCAAACTCACGGCTATTCAGTCCCTTCCTACTCTTAGCTACCTTATGTAGGGTTCCTGAGACTATAAATCTTTACGGGAGTAGAGAGCCTCATATTTCTCCCACAGAGAGGCTCGTGGATTCAAACTGCTGACGTGGTTAGCAGCACAACGCTTAACCAACTAGCCACTTGGTCTCCAAGACAGTACACCATAACTTTGTAATTATCTTGTCAGGTAGTCATTGTACTCATATCTTCCAGAGCACTTAATTAATAATGCTAGGAATTCAGGAGGCACCCAATAAATCCTTATTGTCTTGGCAACCAACAGGAGTAAAAATAAAAACTGAAAGGCTTCAGGAAAGTGGATCTGTTTTCTTTCAGCGAAGGCCCGTTGACCTTAAGGCTACCGATGGGGAAGTGAGGTTAAAAGAACTACAATTCCCAAAAAGCCATAGAGGAGCCACCTCACGCATGCGTAAATTCCTCCCCTTAGGCCTTCTGTTTTTCGCGCATGCGCTCTCGGATAGGTCTTTGAAAAGCACCCCCACTTGCTGCTCCGCGCTAGAGTTGGTGACTGGACCTCCTGCGACTTCAGGCTGCGATGCTGCCCTTCTCTTTCTTCTGGACTTCCCGGGTAAGACAACAGGGCTCCAGATACTGGGTGAGGAGTGTAAAGGAAGTCTCCGTTCTGTCCCACTTCCCATTCACAAAAAAAGGCTTCCCCCAATCCCCGGCTTTGCCACGCACGTGTTCTGGGCCCTTGGGGACTGGAGGAGAAACCAGGAAAACACGCTTGTGGTGAATTGGGGATCCTCCCCCCACTCCCACGGCGTGACACCCATTAGTGGCATTAGTGGAAAGGACTGCGCTGGATGCTTTATGAACCCTGATGGGGTGAGCGAGAGGAGTTCCCGACCAGGACCCCAAGAACTAAGCCTTTCCGGCCGTCTCTGAGCGGGACATATGATGCAATCTGGCTCCAGTGTTTGCATCAGGGGACCCACAGCTGTGTGGGTTTTGGCTTTTCTGCTGGCAGAGATCCCCTCTCATCTTCCCCAGGAACTACTAAAGGCCTATTTTCCCACCTCCATTGCTCTACAGCCTGTGGCTTTAACCCTGTCTACTCTGCCTTATCCCACCTGGTTGGGGGGTGAGTTATGGGAGACCGCAGGAAGCCCCCTTTTTTTCTGGAACCCCAGGAGCACACTAGTGAGTTGCAGATTCGTGGGCTTCTTTAAGACAAACTTTGCCCTAGGACTTTGCAGAGAGTGGCTCCTGGAGGGGTGGGAGTGGAGGTGGGGAAGACTGTGATGAGGTAAATGGACCGGATCAGAACCACCCCCTGGACATTGTTCTTAACCTTGGCTCTAGAATTGACTTTTGAAGGTGGGCGTGGTGAGAACTGAAGCCAGCTGATTGGACAACTGGCTGCTGAGTTTGGAGCCATAGGGGCCAGTAGGTGTGGCTGAGGGTGATTTGGGGACAGTTTGTGTTTTTATTTGATCCTGACTTTTTTTTTGCCCCCTAGCCTCTGCAAAGATGCAGTCAGCTGGTCAGGATGGCTATCCGGGCCCAGCACAGCAAGACAGCCCAGTCCCAGCCTGGGGAAGCAGCCAGAGGCTGGACAGGCCAGGAGAGTCTGTGGGACAGTGATCCTGAGATGTGGGGGCTGCTGCAGAGGGAGAAGGACAGGCAGTGTCGGGGCCTGGAGCTCATAGCCTCAGAGGTGGGGCCCAGGGAGGTGGCTCTTCTCTCATTTTTCCTTTGAGATTCAAGACATTATTTTCCTCTCTTTACTGTTCCCTGAAGTAAAGGAAAGGCCAGTATAAGTTATGGGTGGTGGCATTAGGGATTGTCCTTAGCCTTCAGATCAGTCCTGGAAAGCACAGGTTCAAATGCACCTTTGACTTTGCTGGAGACAAACCCAGCATGGCCACTGGGTTGCTGAGGAAGCTGCTCTAATGCTGCCTCAGGCCTGGAAAGACGCTTGAGTGAAGGGAACTTTCTATGGAGCCCGACTTTCCCCTACAGCTTGGGACTTCTGCAGGGAAGGGGTATTGGGGCCCTGGGGAAGGGCCTCCATACCTTCAGAACAACAACACTGATACTGCCTCCCCACCCACCCCAGAACTTCTGCAGCCGAGCTGCGCTGGAGGCCCTGGGGTCCTGTCTGAACAACAAGTACTCGGAGGGTTATCCTGGCAAGAGGTGAGGGCTAGGCACCAGAGGACTGGAAGGCAGTAGCATCAGGAATGGTGCTCCCAGCTCTTGAAATCTACCTGTAACCCTTCCAGTGCTTATAGAGGAGTGGCCTTCCAGTCCTTTGCTATTGTTTCAAGGGACATGGTGGTGCCCTTCTCTGTGCCTTATATATCCCCCTTCCATGGCAGATATTACGGGGGAGCAGAGGTAGTGGATGAGATCGAACTGCTGTGTCAGCGCAGAGCCTTGGAGGCCTTTGACCTGGATCCTGCACAGTGGGGCGTCAACGTCCAGCCCTATTCAGGGTCCCCAGCCAATCTGGCCGCCTACACAGCCCTGCTGCAGCCCCACGACCGAATCATGGGGCTGGACCTGCCCGATGGCGGCCAGTAAGTGTGTTTGGGGTCGTTGATGGACTTTTCAGGCAGTATGGGCATGGGAGAGGCATTGAACTTCTGCTGTGTGCCATGCAGATGCAACAGACCACTCCTGTCCTCAGGTTATAATAGATGAAGATGAGACCCCAGTAACACCAGTGCCCAGCACAAAGTGGACAGAGCAATGTGGGGGAATACAGGGAGTAATGGTCCATGGGAGGGTGCTTTTGGAGCATGGAGGAAGGGAGTGGTTATTCCTCAGGGTTATTCCACTCCTTCCCTTCCCAGTCTCACCCATGGCTACATGTCTGATGTCAAGCGGATCTCAGCCACATCCATCTTCTTTGAGTCCATGCCTTATAAGCTGAATGTGAGTAATCTAGAGGTTGGGGCTCTCTTTGGGGAAGGCAAGGAACTGGTACCCTAGGCAGTTCTTAGGGTCAACAGGGGGAATGAGTTGCTTGCAGCCTTCTTATGACTTTAGCTCTTTGTCTGTCCAGCCTCAAACTGGCCTTATTGACTATGACCAACTAGCACAGACGGCCCGGCTCTTCCGACCACGTCTCATCATTGCTGGTACCAGTGCCTATGCTCGCCTCATTGACTACGCCCGAATGAGAGAGGTTGGTGGAAGGCACTCCCTCAGGGTAGAGGGAGGTTTTGGAGGAGGCGCAGCCTTGGGCAGGCCTGTCTATGTCCCCCTCAGGGTGAGGCCTATCTTTGTTCCTGTCCTAGGTGTGTGATGAGGTCAAAGCTCATTTGCTGGCAGACATGGCCCACATCAGTGGCCTGGTGGCTGCTAAGGTGATCCCTTCACCTTTCAAGCATGCGGATGTTGTTACCACCACCACTCATAAGACCCTTCGAGGGGCCAGGTCAGACTCCCTGAGGTCCTGCTTTGTGTTTCCTTGCCTTCTTCCAGGGCATTGCTGGGCTGGATCTGAGAGAAATTCATTCCCACCTGCAGCAGTGAAGACTTTGGCCTATGTTGGCCATTCCCTGGCAGGGAACTTGGGGGTGTGGGGTTACTGGAATGAAGTCCCACATCACCGGAATCCAGCAAGGGGGTCTCTGAAAGCCCTCGGGGGTACAGGCCAGCCAGCTTCCTCTGCTCTGTCTATCTGCTGTCCATCCTTTGTAGCTTCATTTCTGACCAACCACCTCTCACACAGATCAGGACTCATCTTCTACCGGAAAGGGGTGCAGGCTGTGGACCCCAAGTCTGGCCGTGAGATCCCTTACACATTTGAGGACCGAATCAACTTTGCCGTATTCCCTTCGCTGCAGGGTGGCCCCCATAACCATGCCATTGCTGCAGTTGCTGTGGCCCTAAAGCAGGTTGTTAACTGCCCTTGTGAGGCAAGGGAAGGGTATTGGCCTATAAGATTAGGCCCCTGAAATTGGGGCTGGTGGAAGGAAGAAATCAGGATGGGTGGTAGGGTGGGAGTGGGTCCAGTCCTGATCAAGGGCACTGCTGTTCCATTCCTAGGCCTGCACCCCCATGTTCCGGGAGTACTCCCTGCAGGTTCTAAGAAACGCTCGGGCCATGGCCGATGCCCTGCTAGAGCGAGGCTATTCATTGGTGTCTGGTGAGTCAGAGAGAATGGGTGAGGGCCTCTTTAGCTTGGGGCTGAAACCCAGCACTCACCATTCCCTGATTATTGTCGCCCCACACTCCCTTAGGTGGCACTGACAACCACCTGGTGCTGGTAGACCTTCGACCCAAGGGCCTGGATGGAGCACGAGCTGAGCGGGTGCTGGAGCTTGTATCCATCACTGCCAATAAGAACACTTGCCCTGGAGACCGAAGCGCTATCACTCCCGGGGGCCTGCGGCTTGGTGAGAGTTGGACTGGAGAGGGAAGAGCCAGACACTGATTGCTGTCACGAAGGTTTGGGCTTTGTTAATTCTTTTCCCTCTTCCCTTGCAGGGGCCCCAGCCTTGACCTCCCGACAGTTCCGGGAGGATGACTTCCGGAGAGTTGTGGACTTAATAGATGAAGCGGTCAGCATTGGCTTGGAGGTGAAGAGTAAGACTGGTGAGTAGGCAGAAGCCCCCTGAGCCCAGCCACTTGGTACTCCCCTTGCTGCTCTCTCCCCTAGCCACCTAACTCCCTTCCCTGGAGTCTGACCACTTTTTTTTTAATCCCTCTCTAGCTAAACTTCAGGATTTCAAATCCTTCCTGCTCAATGACCCAGAAACAAGGAGGCAACTAACTGACCTCAGACAACGGGTAGAACAATTTGCCAGAGCCTTCCCTATGCCTGGTTTTGATGAACGCTGAAGGCCCTGGGATATGAGGCCCACAGACTGGAAGTTACTCTCCCTCCCCACTACTGGGCCAGTGGAGGAGAAAGCTCATCTTCCCAATGTTTGATGGGGGAGAGAAGAGCCAAGCATATTCTCCTTCTAGAATTCATGGCTTAGACAACTTTTTGGTAACAAGACTTAGGAGTGTCTGGGGCTGTCAGCCTTCTCTGCCATATCTCAGTGTTAACAGACTCCCTGCTCCTCGCTCTTGGGGAGGGGGAGTTACCCTTCTGAGCCAGATGAAAGGGTGGGTAGGCACCCTCCTTCCTGTTTTTAATAAAATGCTAACCTGCCCCCTGAGTTTCTATTACTGTGGGAGTTGTCCCCTGGGCCAGGTGGTGATTTGTCTCCCTCCCTTCACTACCACCACGAGGACCCCCGGGGCTGCAGCCTCCTCCCTGTCTCTGATCAGAGCCGACACCAGACGTGATTAGCAGGCGCAGCAAATTCAATTTGTTAAATGAAATTGTATTTTGCCCACGGCTGCTTCTGTTTGATCCCTTGGGACAAAAGGAGCACGGGAGGGGTGGGGTGGTGAGGCAGGGGGAGGCCCAGGTGTGAGGGGGAGGGGTTCCTGTCCAGGAGGGAGGCAGCCTAGCAGGCTCAGGCACAAGGAGGAGCTGCCCTTCCCAAACATAGGTATCCCTTCCAGGCTGGGCAACCCCTGGCAAGCCCAGTACAATTAGTAGCACCGCCCCTGGACCAGCGCCCATGAGCCTAAGCTAACATGGAAACTGCCACGTAGGTTGGCACTCAGGCCCCTGCTCTCTCCTGGCTCACGTTGGCCACGCTTTACACGTAGCCCAAGTCACACCCTGCAAAGCTGCGTGGGAGGGAGGGGCGTGGCTGGCTTGGGCCTTCTGCTAAAACTCAGTTGCTGCCTGCCCAACCAGCCCTCTTTCCCTCCTCCCCCATGGGACTCAAGCTGAGGGTCAGAGGTGCTTCCGCTGGTGGGAACAAGGGAGGGGGGTGGGGTTGGAATTGCTGCCCCTCTGCGTGGGAACCTGGCCTGTGTAAGCAGGGCTGGATGGGGTGGACAGAGCGTTGCCTTGGAGGGCTTCGCACAGCTGCAAATGGAAGAAAGTGGGCCAGCAGGCTGCTGTTTACACCTAGTGAGGACTTCAAACCGACTTAGAAATCTGGCCGATCCTTCTTCAGTTTCTTATAGTCTGTTGAAACTGCGAGGAACTAGGATGAGAAGGAAAAGGGAATTACACTGGACGTTTCTGGTTACTCTGAGAGATGTACCAAGTTGATTTTCAGACCCAAGGATGAGAGTCTGCGTGTTCAGTGCTAGACCACCAGGAAGTACCTTGTATTGGTCATTGGGGCTCAGGCGGTTCCAGGGCTCTGGGTTGTTCTTTCGGTCCCAGCTGTGAAGTGGGAGGGGTAGGGTTAGGGTCTCCTCTTTGGAAGTCTGGATATGACACATCCCTCACCCCCACCCCCATGTTCAGTCGAGGTCCGTGTACCTCCCACATCATCTACCTGGGGGCCCATTTCTCAGAGCCTGATGTGCTCACAGGTAAGACAAGCCTGTCAGCATTGGGCCAGGGACACAGTGATTTTCCATGACACCAGAAGTGATCTGGTATCTCCCACCTTGGCCCAGTGTGGTGTCTCTGCACACCACCCAGACCCCTATAGTGCCACTCCAAAGCCCTACGGTACCCTCAGCCGCTCACCAGGCCACGCCCCAGTACCAGGCTCAGAGATAGCAGAACCCAAAGGCCAGCTGCAGGCAAAGCAATGTCTCCATGGCAACCAGGCCGGGAGCTACACGGGCTCTGCCGCCAGGAGCGGGTCCAGTTGGGAGCCACGCAGGAGTGAGCGGCAGGCTGGTGACTGAGGGAGGTAGGGCTCTGGGTCAGGAGTTGGCTCCACAGGAGGGACAAAGTCATGTGGATCCCCAGTAGGGCCACTCACTCTCACTGTCCCTGAGAGGCCCAAGCTTTCACATCCCAGGACCTCTGCCTGCATCCCCAGCCAGGCCTTTACCAGACATCTGGGCTGCGCAAGGCGAGACGCAGCAGGTAAAGAGCAGCACTGCCCATGCCCAGTCCAATGAAGCCAATCATCGGGATGAGCTGTGGAGAAGAGGAAGGATACTTTCAGGGACAGTTCCCTTTCTGCGGTGTCAGATCAGATCACCCTGCCCGGTCCCATCTCCTCGTCTGGCACTCTCTCCTTTCCGGGGGAAGATGCCTTCAGCCTCCTACAACCATGTGTACCCTCCACCAACTCCCATGGTTGGTCTCCTTTATGCCACAGCCAGTCTGGCTATGTTACAGGCATGAGTTGGAGACACCCTGGGGGAAAGCTAGGAGTGTTGGGGGAACTGAGCAAGAGCATCAGGAGCTCTGGGAATAGAACTCACCCCTGGATGTCTCTTGATCTGTCTGTAGAGTCGAGCCCCCAGACTGGTTCCTGCCATGTTGCCTCTTAATGTCTGGTCCTCTCTAGAGACTCTACCCTGTAGGTTGCCTGGGGTCCCGCCCATTGGGGAGGGGTCAGCCCAGCCCAGCCCAGCCCAGCCTGGCCCAGCTAAGCCTGCCTTTTGAGATGCACCCCACCCACTCCTAAATGACTTTTCCTGGCACAAAGCTGGGAGGGAAATTGGAATCTCCTCTAAATATTTGCACTCTGGCCCTGGGGAGACCACCATACCTGAGACTGGGATCTGAGGGCTATCCAAAAGTGGGGGAGAGATATGTTGTTAAGTACCATTGACTCAGTTCCGACCTATAAAGACCCTGTATAGAGAGTTTCCAAGGAGTGTCTGGTGAGCTTGAACCACCAATCTTGCGAGATATACCATGGGATAAACAGGCAGCAAAGAGCACGTGTGTGGGCTATTCACAGGTGGGACCAATGAAGGTCCAGGGGCTGTGTATCATCCAGAGCAGTCCTGTGACACTCCCAGAGTCACCCAGAGCTAGCAGGTCATGGGACCCTGGTATTACCACCCTGAGTATAGTGGGAGGAAGAATGGAACAGACAGACAGCAATCTCCCTTGTCAATTGATCTGACCTGGATTATCCTGGAATTGTGGTTTCAAGCCTGAAGAGTCTGGGGCAAATCTGGAACTCTGCTCAGATTAAGTCAGTTGGTGAAGTTTGGGGGCCTGAGAGACATGCTTACCCTGCCCACTTTCTTGAGGGGTGAGGGCGGTACCACCAAAGGAGACTGCCCACTGCCTTTGGCTGTGAAGAGAAGTGGAAGAGAATGGAAAGGGAGAGTCAAGCAAAGATAGAATACAAGTTGAAGGAGGAAAGAATGAGGCAGAGACAGGATGCCCGGAAGCGACTGGCTCTGTTGATGCAGCCAACTCAGGTGTGTGCTGTTTTGCCAGGGTGGAAATGCTCATCGCCCCCATCTTTAGGGAACTGGGTCCTAGGGCTTCAGAAGAGAACCCTAACCACCCCTTTCCACTCCCACGCTAGCCATTCCTGGACGTCGTGGCCGGATCCTGCCAAACTCCCCCACTTCGCCCCTTTCCCGCCTCTGGGCTCCTCGGGGTCCCGGGAGAGAGGGAGGGGACCCTTCCCAGGAGCGGGCCCCTCCTCTTCCCCCAGCTGACAAGCGCGGCTGTAATTAGGCTGCGGGGTCCCGGGCTCTCCGCCTCCCTCCGGCGGATAATGAGATAAAGTGTCAGAGACACGGCAAGAACAAAGAGACAGAGACTCACAGCGATACGTGTGTGGGGCGGGGGAGGAGGGCTGACGGGATGTCAGAGCCGCCAGCGGCACGAAGCCGGGTCCTCCCAGAGAGCCCGCACCTACAGGGCCAGACCAGAGAGGGGGCGTCCTTGTCACCTGCACCCCCGCAACCCTTCTGTCTCTGGGACTGAAAATCAATCCTGGTGCTTGAATTCCAACAGCTGCACAGCTGGGCGGCACAGCTGGCTCTGTGTGGCACAGCTGGGTTGCCAAGACACCGGGAGGGACGCCTGGCCCCTATTCCATGCCCCTCTTCTCTCCGGTCCTCGCCTGCGCCCTTGTGCCCTTTCTTATGCGTTCGGGTGACCAGGGCCTGGCATGTCCCGGATTCTCCGTTCTGCGTCGTTCCAGAGCAGCTGCTGTTCCTCTTGCCTTGGGCCTTCCGCCTGGGCTCCTTCCTCCTTCGCCGGCTTCCCCACGAACCGTTACTTACTTCTCTTTCTTGTCTCTCACATTTCTGTGACCACATTTCTAAGCCCTTCCCATGTCTGGCTCCGGTCTCTGGATCTTGGTCTATGGGGCCCGGAAGGGACTCAGAACTCTTAGGTTCCAGATACCTCTCCACCATCATCCCGCACTTGCCCTCTAAAGAGACTCAGGCTACTCTTGCTGGCCGAGCGGGGTGAGCGAAGGCAGGAGTCATTAGCCGTGATTAGGCGCGGCCGGAGGCCTGGCGGGTCCTGCCGGGTCCGGACCCCAGCATATGTAAAGAACGCTACACTCCCACTAGGACACTAATAGGCTCTCTGGCGGAGTAGCATATTAAACGACTCGGTACCTCTGAGGCTGTGGGCGCCCCTTGGAGGCCAAACGGTTCCCAAACCCTCGGGAAGTGGCCTCGGGTGCCCCCTGCCGGGAAGTGCCCACTCTGTGCCTAGTAGCGTTTCGGTAAGTAAGTGGGCACTGGACTGGTGTGTCCTCACCCAGGCCACCGTTCCAGTCACTCTCGCCGCCAGATCTCTCAGCCTAAACTCTTCTGGTGGGACGTGATGTCTGGGAGCAGAAAGGAGACGCTGAAGTGCTCGCCTCACTCGCCACAGGCGGCACCCAGGCTTTAAAATTGGTTCTCTCAGTGGGATTGGGTTGCCTCAAACACCTGGGGCTCCGTCTATGCTCTGGGGTAGTGCTGCTGCTATCAAGACAGCCCTCAGCCCTCTGACCCTGCTTGCGCCAGCCTCTGACTTCCCTTCCTTCTTGCCACTTTCTTCTTCAGGCCCTATCAGTCTGTCTTTCTGGGTTTGCCTGTGTCCTCATCATTCTGGCTTTGTCTGTGTCTCTTCCTCTGTAGCTGTCTCTACTTGGCTTAGTTTCTCTGCATCCTTTTCTCAGTCTCTGTTTCAGTCTCTTCTCTCTGCATCTTTCTCTACCTCCCTGTATCTCTCTTTACAAATGCCTGTCTCTCTGTCTCTCTTTATCTCTTCCTTCTCCATCCCCAGCCGTATTCCTATTCTCTGGGGGCTGCAGCACTCCAACGGGAGAGCCTGGGGACAACTTGGGGGTCCCCCTCCCGATCACCTCCACTTGCCCGTCACCTCGGCGCGGCCTCTGTCTTCCCGCTGCAGCTGTGGGATGGGGAAGAGGCGCCCGAGAGGGAAGATACAGTGCTCAGCATCTGTTTAGGAGCCCCGGGGCCCCTGACCCCCCTCTGCAGATATTAAGGGCGCTGGGTCCCGAGGCTTGGAGATGATCATGATTGCATCAGCCAGACAGCCGCGGAGCCGGGAGCCGCGCGGCGGGCGAGCTAGCAAGACAAAGACGCCCGCACCATCTGTTTATGCAAAGCGCTCTCCGCCAGGGACCCTGGCGTCCCGGCGCCTGGGTCGGCTGGGGCACAAGGTCATGAGCCCGTCCCCGCTTGGTGCCCGGTCGCGCCGCGGTCTCTCCCGCTCGAGGCGAGCGGGGCGGGGGGAAGCCGGGGGTGTTGATGTGATTGGAGCGGACGCGTCTGTTTCTTCAATAATGGATGGAGATGATGCGGACGGCGGAGCCGAGTCGGCCGGGAGAGGAGAGAGGAATAGAAATAGGGAGAGGAGGGGCGGGGGTGGGAGACGCACCCAAGCACACACGCACACACGCGCGCGCGCGTCACACTGTCATTCGGGTACACGCTACCGCGCGGCTCACACCCAGGCACACGCCCACGCACTGTCACCGAGACACACACGCACCTGCAGGCGGAGACGCCAGAGCAACACACACTCACCAGCGGCCCCTCCTGATGCACACAAACAGCCTTGCAGACAGATACACGGAAATGCCTACACGTGGGCACATCCAGGCGCAAAGAGGCACAGACATGCCAAAGCATGTATGCACACCCAGATGCTCAAGGGTGTTTGTTATTGTTATTGTTGTTGTTAGAAATTGGTGTGGGGTGGGTGGGACATAAACAAATCTGACAGATAAGACAGTGACACAGACACAGACGCTTACACCACCACCCATGGGGCTCAGATAAACACACCTTACACCCGGAGTCACAAACACACAATACCACACACCAGGAGCGTAGACACCACAATTGGCAGAAACGCAGACTCCCGCCCACCCACACAAGCTCAGAGCTCTAACCCACACATACGTAGGAGCTGCCGCCTGTATCTGGCAGAGGTGGAGGGTGCCAATGAGATCGCCCAGGTCCCGCTAGCAGGCCTCGTTAGCCTAGCAGTGTATAATGAGGTTGTGATGACAGGAGGCGCCTGAGGTTGTGGATTCAGTGGCCTTTGCGCCTCAGCTTGACTGGGACTAGGCTTGGGGGTCCAGTGGGCCAGGGCAGCCAGCGAGCTTCTTTTCCCCATCCCTAGTGCTGCCACGGCGGGACTTTGGGGGCTGCATTGGGAGACTCCCAGGAGCCACGAGGGTTGAAGAAAGGGTTGACGATGTAGCTGCCTCTTCTCTGCTCCTAGTCCAATTTTCCGACTTCCAGGGTCACTTTCTTTTTTCTTTTTTTTCTAAAAGGGAAGGGACACTGGCGAGGGAGGGAATGGGGGTTGTGTCTTGGACTCTGCCACTCCAGCCCCTCCTCTGGTCTGTTTTCAATTCAGTCCGCTCCTTAGTCCAGACTTATGACCTTTGCTGTGTGCGGTGGCATCATCCATCACCCTGGCGGCCACTCGAGGGAGTGGGGGCGTTAGGGTTCGCCCAGGGTCGCTGTCTTGCCCATCATCCTCTCCTGGGACCTGCTCTGTGGGCAGGTACGGGATGGGGAAGGAAAGTGACTATGGGGTTTGAGCACGACTTTTGAGTCTTACGTCCCCACCCCTAGCACCCAGCACCCTTTCTTTAAGTTCCCTACAACCCGCCTCCCCGATCCTCCCCCCCACTTTCTCTGGGGCCCTTTGCTTAATTTCCTATTAACTGCTGATAAATCCAATTAAACCGCCGCTCTAATTAGGGACAGCTGCCGGTTCCGCGAGGCGGGGAAGCGGGGCGCCCCCCGAGTGTAGGGGGAGAACAGCCGCTCTCCCTACTCGTCTGGCACCCCCCCCCACACCAGCATTGCCGCCCAATGAGCCAGTAAATTGGTTTTGCTTCAGCGTTATGGGGGGGCCTTCCTGAAGATATCCTGGAAGGGGGCGGGGGCTCCAGTTTTGAATCCCTCAGACCGATGGATGAAGACAGGCTATCGGAGCCCTCACCATCTCTCCCCCCCACTTTCCTGGTAGATACGCCCTGAGTGGCTGGGGTAAGAAGCCTGATTTGTGTGTAGTTGAA